TTTTTTTTTTTCCTGATCAGGTATTACATGAAAGTAAACGTCTGTTTTTGCTGCTGGGTCCAAGGGATAATATTGCAGCTTGACAGGTAGCTGTTTTGTTGCCGTATATGCTGTAAGAACATAAACGAATCATGCATTAATTACAAAAAAGACACCCTTCAGGTTTTGCCTAATTACAATGTGAACGGTTACTATTAGAACTTCATTTTATTTATTTAGTTATTTTTTCATTTCTGTGAATTGCACCCTCAAGACTGATGAATGCTAGTTTGATGGGTACATACTATCTTCAGTCGGGGTTTACACAGAGTTCAAAAGTGTTTATAAGTTATAAATGATAACTGAAAGTATCTTGTAATCAGGCTAAAAATTCAGCTACAGCTTTTTTCTGTCCATGAAATAGGTATTAATAATGTTCAGCAAATAGTGATGTTTGTCCGATTGTGCAGGTTCTTATGTGATCATCTTTCCATGGAAGCTTTACGAGAACAATGTTTGATTGATTGAAACTAAGGATGTCCAACAGTTATCTTCGTCAGGTCACACAAGTTTAAAACTAATAATTAAAAAATAACAAGCTGCTGCATGATCTTAATGAAAAATAGTACTTTCCTTGTTCGGATAAACTCTGTTTAGACTAATCTTATTGTCCCGTGTTTTCTGTTTAGTGTTAAACGATACCTGTGATTGACTGCATCTTTTGATGTCGACGATAAATGTGTATTATTTCTTTTGATTTGTGGGCGGTTTAAGGGCGCGATTCGATATGGAATGATGGAATAGATTTTATTTTCATCTGATAGGAAAATGATTATTATTCTTATTATCGAATTATTGAGTTATTCACAACTCATTTTGCGACTCACTAATTTTTGCGAGTGGGAATGAACGGATTTGCAAGAGAGAGACCGTTACCAAATGTAATATTTTAAAATAGAGTTTTAACTTCAAACTCTATGCTCGAATTGAAGACGAAATAGTGTCTTGGTCAATGACCGATGTCTTGTGTAGCCTTGGGTGGAACATCTTGCTAGTTTATAAAGGGCTGAATCAAATCTACAGACCTTATTTCAACATAGGATAAACGTATTGCCCTTTGATTTCGCCTGTGTTTTAAATTGCTTGGCACTTGCCATTCCATCAGTTCCATGTAGGGAGTGAACCTAAGTTTGGAACCGTAGAGCTAATAAGACCATCCGCAATGTTTCGGTTCAATTACAAAAAATTGTATGTCACCTAAGAAATAGACGTAGTCTAAAAAAATGTATCCTCCAATACAAACAAAAGTAGACTCTTGGTGATGTGACGACCAGAAAAAAGATACAGAGACCAAAGTAGAGACTTTTACTCTTTGCATTGGAGTTGATTTTATCAATTTGACATAGTTTTATCCATGTCATCTAAGACTTGAGTTTATTTACATGTCACATAGTCAAGACTGGAAAGGTATTTATTGTAGGGTACATGCAATACATTGTGAATAATTGTGGATGGTTCTATAAGAAATAAAATAACAGGAATATCTTAAATCGCAAAATATTAAGAAATGAAATGTAAAAGTAAAATATAAACATTTAAGTCGGTATCAAATATTTATGCCTAAAGAAGTTTCATTATAGTTACAAATCAAACTATAGTATCACTTTGGAAACTCTGTACCAGGCAACAATTATTGCCCATAAGATACTTCGTTTTTCAGGGTGTCAAAAGATTGGGTTAGCGTCCGCGAATCTCGAAAGAATAAGTTACTTGATTCACTGTACTCAATTATGTGCATACAAATATTTCATAAGTTCAGTACATAGATACTACTTTATAGGAAATCATAAGTTAATAATGAATATATCTCATTTTATTAATTTGATAATTTACAAAAATAAGTAAGATAATTATTAAATATTTGACTTATATATGAATAGTTATATAGATTTTACAATCTATATAATTGTTGGCGAGCTTTAATAAATTTTATTCAGCCAGCAATTAATAAAAATAAGACTTCATTTAATAAAATCCTTTATGACCAACATTCAAACGACAGTTACCCGAGTAAAATTTTATTATTATTAATATTTTTTTATTTTGTAACAGCATTACAAGATTTTAAATTGTATAAATATTAAATTTACAGCTAATATTCCTATTTTGTATTATAGATATACAATAAAAAAAATAACCGACTTATATGGAAGTAAAATAAATATTTATATTTTACATTTACATATAGTCAAAATTTTAAAATATATTATACACTTTATTTAATTTAAATTTTTAAATATTATATACGTACATATAATATATAATTTTTGGTTTCCTTTGTGCATGTGCACATGATCGAATTCTAGTATATACATAAAGATGAGTTCAAATGAGAAAAATAAAAATAAGTCTGGACCATTAGATCAATCATATAAAAGGTTATGATGAAGTCAAATTTATTAAATAATGGTCAAACATGTTATGGTAATACGGTAAATAAGTGATCATGTTGGGTCAATATACATTTTTAAGGATAAAATAGACATTTTAAATTCTCCACTCATCTACCAACACGTGGGCTCCACCCATCCCATATCCCCTAACTTAATTGACCAACACGTGGGCTCCACACCGTCTCTCTAGCCTTGTAAGTGGAGACAGAAAGCGAGGGGCTTTCGAACCTTTCTTTGGTGATTCCCTGAGCCAACCAATCTTTGGATTCCCGAGTTGGCACTCCAGGAGATCGAGGAGTCCCCTTTGACTGATTCGTGATTCCGTACAACGGGACGGTCGGGAGCTGAGGTCATTTTGTCGTCATTTCGAGCTCTCTCTCTCTCTCTCTCTCTCTCTCTCTCTCTCTCTCTCTCTCTCTCTCTCCCTCCCTCCCTCTCCCTCTCCCTCTCCCTCTCTCTCTCATACACACTTGCCCATACGAAAACAAACACATAGTTACACATATCACCACCCCCTGGCGGCCATCAGAACACGCCCGCTGCCACCATCCGCCCGCGCAGTCAACGTCGTTGTATTCCTTTGTCTACAATGGCCTTCATCTCTTTACTTTCTTTCTCGTCGGAGTTTTGTCTGTATATCGACCTCCGCCGTCTTCCTCTATAACAGCCTCCGCCGTCCTCCTTTCGTCTGCGACGGAGGTCCGCCAAGCTGTCGTTGCTCGCGCTGCTTGCTGCCACCAACCACGTACCGATCGTCCTCCACCAGAGACGTACGCGATAAAGGAGTCTCCGGTAGACGTCGTCGCCTTTGACCGCCTCGACCAACGCGTCTTTCGCCTCGGGACCCTGCTGCTTGGCGAAAGTACAGTCGCTCAAGTGTGTGTGTGCGTGTATGTGTGTGTGTGTGTGTGTGTGTGTGTGAGAGAGAGAGAGAGAGAGAGGGAGAAAGTGGAAAGTGGTGGGAAGTGTAGGTGGTTAGGTGGGGTCAACGGATGTTGGTGGATGGTGGTATTGAGGAAAATGTCAATAATACCCTCAATGTATTTACAAATGTTGTATTTCTAACCATTGAATCATTTGATTCGATGGTTAAGATGTATTCTCATTCTTTCATTTTGAACCCATCTCACCCATTTGTATCCTCACATCTCTCTCTCTCTCACACACACACACACATCTCATCCTCTTCTCGCGCTGCACACAGAGCCACCAAATGGCTACGGAAGTAACCATCAAGTCGTTCGCCGCCGCCCAAGGCCGCAAAAAGATATCTATACAAAAATGTCCGCTGCCCATCCGGTATCTCCACGCCAACAATGCTCCAATCACCTCCTCCACCGTCGCACCGCTCGTCGAAGACAGCGGCCTAGAGCTTGTCCCAAACGACCATCGTGTCCCCGTCGCACTGCTCCTCGAAGGCAGCGACCTAGAGCTTGCCCCAAACGAGCATCGTGTCCCTTCGCCGCTGTCGAAACACTCAATCGAACACGCAACTAGGACGCCTAATTTACCTCCGTGAATAAATCGGCCTAAATACCTTGTAAAAACCAGACCGCCGTTGTCAATGTTCCTACTAGCCTGATTTTTTGCGCTAATTGGTCAAGCTTCGATGATCTCGAGATATGATATGCCATACACGAATTAGTCGTCCTCTCACGATTTTCTAAATTCGAGCATGAAAACATTGAATTCGAGGGCCGACCAGAGGATGCTGACTGACGATTTAGGATATCACGGTGGTGACGGTCGACGGCCCAATACTCCATTTAACTTCCACATACACAATATGGTTGCGGGATCAAGCGCCTCTGGCAAGGGAAGAGCTGATTCGACAGCTCGTGGTGGTCTAGTCGACAAAAGGATGCCCAGTGTGGTGGTGGTGTTAAATGGTGAAATCCC